GCCCGCCGCTTAAAGGTGGGGGTCCGCGGACCGGCCATAGAGCCCATAGAGTTAAAGGTGGTGGACTGTAACCTGTAAAATCCATAGATTTAGGAGGTCCCCTAGTGGCCGTTAGCTGTAACAATCCATAGATTAGCCGCACCGTTATATAAGCCGCAGTGTCGAAAAATGGGAAAAAAGGCGCGGCTTATAGTCCGAAAATTACGGTATATTATTTGTATAATGCGCTTTCTGCCTTCCTGTCATCAGGAGTTAGACATGTAATAGGTTATAAACTGAATTCAATACCTTTATATGTTCTACTCTTCACTCACTTGTCAGCATAGGTCGGCATTGATCTACAGAACCGACAAAACACCTTGTTTATATTGGATCATATTGAAACCAACTCCATCGATCAAGCTGGCTAAAACTTTCTCTCCCTCTTCTTCTCATACTCCCTGTCACTCTCCTTTAACCACAGCAAACACAGCTGTTTGCTTTTCATCCAACAACGACAACCGCCTCACGAAACGCTATGTTGAAGCGTTAATAAACGAAACAATTTAACAAAATTGCTTGTCAAAATACCAAAAGACAATTATTTTTTTTAAAGCAATATTTTTAGTGGCCCGAGCGGGCAAGTGGACAGTACGTTATGATATTTCCACCTCGTGATATAACAAGTTCTCAACATGCAGTGGTTGCCGTTAATAGAACAATAAGAACCTATAAAACAGCAAAACACGAATTAAGCTCATGTGACTACTGTGAATATAACATAAGCCCTTATAATATAGAACTAAGTATCTGACACTTCCAAGTGTTCAGTATTGTTGCACACACACACACATATATTAAACATGTTTCTATGGGATGTGTGTGAGGAGACTCACCGCTGCCCACCATGCCCATGGCAAAGATGGAGTTGTGCGACACCTCGGGGTCGGCGTCGTGGGAAAACTTGCTGAGGGTGTCCAAGATGTTCAGACGAGGGTTGGACACGGAAATGAGAGCCAGGGCGAGAGGGACCGCCCGCCTGAGGGTGGGCTCTCCGTAACGCAGCTGAGGATACAAATGAGAGATGTTAGAAAAATCTCACTGGTCCCCGGCTTGAGCTTCAATCTCAGGATCCATGTATTTGTGATCCTCTCCAGAATGGAAGTAGTCATCACATACAGAGCATTTGGTGCCTTTTTTCAGAAAATCTGAAAATTCTTTCATTTTATTCACTTTTTCTCAAAATCTCCAAACATTTTGAATTTCTCAAATTCTGACTTTTTCTCAAGATTCAGATTTTTTTCAAAAAATCTGAAAATTCTGACTTTTTCTGAATACTTAAAAATGTTAATCACTCGTCATCGGCTTGAGCTTTTTTCTCAAAATCTCCAAATTCTGACATTTTCTGAAAATCACCTAAAAATTCTGACTTTCTTTTCAAAATCTCAAAATCCAGATTTTTTCCCCCAAAAGAATTCTGACTTTTTCTCCAAATCTCCAAAAAACAAACAAAACCGACTTCTCAAAATCTCCAAAAATCATTGGTATTTATGGCAGGATATCAGAGTAAGATTAAGTATGAGGATGAGTAAGAATAGTTACTATTAGTGGTGCTGCAGAGAAGTCCTTTTTTCAACAAAAATATAACGAGGACACAAAACAGCCAGAGCAGTTTTCTTACTGACCAGATGTCCGAATGTTCGTAGGGCCATTTCTGATCCGATCTCCTCTCCCATAGCGATCAGAGCGATACCGAGCACCGCTACACCCTGAGAGGAAAACATACACAACATCTTAAAAGAGCACATTTAAACAACCGTGAACATTCATAAACACACCTCCGCCCCTCAAAGACTATTTAGAAATATATTGATGGCTATTGGACTTGCGTCCTCCGGTTACTAAAACCCTTTATGAACACAGTACATTTAGACTTTAAGTGTTAATATGCACATTGTCATCGCTACTGCTTTTAACACTCTTATTTATTTGTGTCTATGTTTTACTGAGGTGACAGTTACCAAAGAAATGTCACTGTACTTTGTATGATGACAATAAAGATCTATTCTAAAAGCATCCATGACATAGCGGTAGGGATGGGTAGCGTTAAGGTTTTAACGGTACTACTACTTTTTATCGATACCGCTTATCGATCCGGTTTAGGCATTGCTCGTGCGCCCTTACATGCTAAACTCTTATTGCACTTCTGGCAACGAGCATTGTCCACATCGAGACGGGTAAAGTTTAACCACACCTCGGAGCGAGTTCTCTCCGCCGTGTGTGTGTTGCATGCATGTAGCAGCCGTTTGTGTTGCATGCATGTAGCAGCCGCGTGTGTGTTGCATGCATGTAGCAGCCGTGTGTGTGTGTTGCATGCATGTAGCAGCCGCATGTGTGTGTGCTGCATGCATGTAGCAGCCGTGTGTGTAATATGGATGTAACAATACCAAAAACTCACGGTACGATAATATCGCGATAAAAAGTCCACGGTACGATATTTATCGCGATATTGAAAACATTTTTTTTATTAAATAATAAATCTGATTTGTACAGTACTTTAGTAGGATAGCAGTATTTTAAAGTGTCAACAATATAATAATCACACCCTGCAACAGAATAAATCAAGTTTCACTTTAGTTTTTCAAGTAACTCAACTCTAACTCACTCACTCAGCATCATAAAGGTTATCTTTTAGGAATATGAGCATGTCCACATTTCCAGGTAGAAGCTGGGATGTTTGGGCGTTTACAATATCCCCTGCTGTGGAAAAAACTCTCTTGCTTTGTACTCATGTTGCTGGGACAGAGAGATATACTT